CACTTTTCTTTGCTTGAGATGGAGGAAGACCAATAGTTCCATCTTAGACAACTGCTCACAAATTTTCCAGTCACTTGAGTAGCTTATTTTTAATAAAGTTAAAGTATTATGGAAATTCAATCCTGAAATCATCAAATGGTTATTTTGTAGAGTGTTACCTTCTTCATATTATTTCCTACTTTAATCTGACAATATGATGAATTATAATTTTGAATTTTATAATGTTTATGAAATCTTATATAACTAAATAATGTCTTATGTATTCATTTTAACATTTCATTTGATATACTTGGTTCACAATTCCACATTATTTTTCATAATGGAAAAAGCTTACAGTGTTTTTTAAACTATTTTAATCAATATTTATTAACATACAGTAAATGTATACATTGAATTTTAATACATTCTAACTGTATCAAATGAGAGAAGATGCCACAATTCACTTATTTTATGTGCATTTTTTTTCTTAGTTAGAGGACTTTAAAAAGCTTTATGACCAACTAACTTGGAAGAAAAAAGGCTATGAAAAGGAATATGCAGATATACTCAATGCTTTTTATACAACAGTAAGTTTTCCTTTTTCCTACTTCCCCACTAGAACTCCATTCCATATCCCCAAATACCAACTCATGCAACTAAAAGTAATTTCATTATTTTCTATTTTTATCCCTTTTGAAAACTCAAACAAAAAGATAAGTAAACATATATAAGTGATCCTTTCTTTTCTTTTTCAATTAAAGAAAAAAACATGGGACATCGAGCTTTCTAATGTTTCAAAAGACTTTTCAGAACTTTCAAAATTATATAGTCAATTGTTGGAAGAAAATAAAAAAATTGAAATAGATGCTGAAGTTGTAATAGATCGTATCAATGAAAGGTAATTATGTAAATGGAATGAATTTTTAATCTTATATAATACAATATCTGATAAGTTAAATATAATGTTATTATTGAGCGCCACTGAGTTGATTCCAACTCATATCGATTCTGTGTATGGTTTCTGAGAAGCAGATGATGGGTTTGAACTGCCAACTTTGTGGTTCACAGTCCAGTGCTGATCCTACAGTGCCATACCAGGAGTGACCCTCTGATGGTATTGTAGTCTTTAGCTTAAATGTTGGATCTCTTCCAAATTCAAATCATTCATCATTCTGGATCCCTTTAGAAAAACTGTGATAGTGAAGAAATAAGATCTTATAAGAGAAGTTTGTCACCCACTTTTCTCACCCCCATTTACATATCCTTATAAAGTATACATTAAACTTAAACTATTTCTACTCAAGCTCATGTTTTCCTTCAGTTTGCTCCCAAATCCTTTATCCCAACTATTAAACTAGATATGTTCACCTCATTCTATTTTAACTCTTATATTCAACATATCAATAAGAACATTTTCACTTACTAAATACCTTTCCCCTCACAGTACTATTCATTGGGGTTGGCAGTACATGTGTTTTCCCTCTCATGGTCCTGTATAAAATTGAGTCCTGTAGTTATTAACAAATCTCTGCCAACATGATAAATGTAAAAATATGTACATAGTCTTAATATTGTTTTGAATTCAGTTTCCTTGATTACTAGAGAGGCTAAATTTTTACACATTCTCATTTGATTTCCACATTTGCTAAATTGTCCTTATGGGTTCCCAAGAAAGAAATAAGGAACTTTAGGTCCAAATTAGCAGTGACTTTCCTAAAACCCCATAGATGATAGAAGAAGTAGAGCTGTAACTTGAAACAGCACTTTCTAAATTCAGGTTCAGAATTTCCCGCCTTATCTTTTATAATTGAATCAGACTTCAGTTTGGCTAACATTTAATGAATGTTCAAATATGCTTGATAAATTGTGACCAATGATGACACCCCACAAATAGTAGACCAAACATTAAAATAGCAATTTTATACAGAACATAGTTAAACAGTGATATTTTCACAGAATGGCATAGCTGGCATGACTGGAGTTTACAGCAAGGGTTTGGCTTGGCATGTGCTTCCATGTGTTTGTAAATGTGTATATGCTTCAGTGTGGCAAGCAGGCAGGGTCAAATGGAGTCTAAGAACTACAGTGTAAGATAATGAATCATTTCAAGGAAATTGGTCTTGTCTACACTGAGATCTATGGAAATTCATTAAATAAGCCATATAACCAGATTTCTCTTTTAAAGACTTCCTGTCAGTGTTATGAGGTAATGTAAGGTTTTGGTAATTAGTTTGATGATTTCCGAAATTAAATGAAAAATTTGTTGTTAAGTTGCGTTTGAATCAGTTCTGACTCACAGTGACTTGTTGGAGGGAAGATACGTTTTATTTAGAATTGTGTATGACATGATACAAATATAAATGTTAGTTGCAGACATGATTTAAGTAGAGTGGTTACGAATCAGGCTGCTAACCTCAGGGTCAGCAGTTTGAAACTACCAGCTGTTCTACGGGAGAAAAATGAGGCTTTCTGCTCCTGTAAAGATTTACAGACTTGGAAACCCTGTACAGGGTTACTATGGGTCGGAACCAACTCCACGGCACGTAACAACAACAGCAAACATTTTTAAGTTTGTCCCTTATTCTACTTCTTGTTTGTTGTTGCAGTTAGGTGCCATCAAGGTTGTTTCACTCTTTGCTCCTGTCCCCTACTTCTTAGACTTAGAAGTTGTGTAAGGTAGAAATTTTGTGAGACATATTTTAACACAAAGTCATATGACAGTATAATGATGTTTCCCAGATACCTGATGGGAAAGAATCAAGAAGCATAAGCAATGGTTTCTACAGACTCCACTAACCTAAGTGATTTCATTGGTAATAAAACAGACAGAAAGATCTTAATTTTTTTTATCAAAAGAAACACTAAAATCAACCTAATAATAAACTGAAACCCAAAGCAAACAAAGAAAAACATAGAGGAAGCCTACTTTACTTCATATAGAAACCCTTTATGAATAAAACACTGAATATGATTGAAATGTATATATTTAAATGAATAAAGGGTCATATGAAAGTGTTGACTATGACCCAATAAAGTTAAAACTGTCAAATTCTTAATAACCCAAAAACCAAATCCAGTGTCACTGAGTGAATTCCAATGTACAGCCACCCTGATAGGGTTTCCAGGAGTCCTGATGTGGCACTGGAGGATAAGAATTCAACCTCATGGTTTGTTTAAATTGCAAGGTGAGTGGTTCAAACTTACCAGCTGCTTCTCAGTAACCCAATGCAGGGTTACTGAGTTGGGACTGAATCAATGGCACACAGCAACCACAATAGGATTTTCAAAGTTGCAAATCTTTATAGGAGCATACAGTCTCATCTTTTTCCCTCCAGTGCCTGGAAGCTTTGAACTGCTGGCCTTGTGGTATGCAGTCCAGTGCTTATCTTACAGCATCATCAGAACACCTATACATCTTAATAAACTAAACATTTTGTGATTGTAATTAAATGCAATATTTATCATTTCATAATTTAATAAAATGAGTATCAAATGAAATGGCCAAGGTAATTTAAAAATAATGATTCATAGGGATACATGTTGTTGTTAAGTATTGTTGAGTCCATTCTGAGAGTAGCTAGTGTCTTTGAACTGCCGACCTTGTGGTTTGCGGTCTAGTGCTCATCCTACAGCACCACACCTTTAGTAATTAGCTCTGTGGTGTATTTAAACAGGAAAAGGATGTGTAATTTTTAAATTCTGTGGTATTGATCAGAGAACTGGCTAGATACTTGAAACATATCACTGGATACTAACAATTAGTGTAATTAGGGATTTAAAAAGAGTTAAAATGTTATGAAATTACTTACTTAATGATATCAAAACATCAAATTTCAGGGAATAAAACTAACAAGATAACGTGTAATACCCACACACACACATTGTATTATATTATTTCCTATAATACAAATCTACAAAGTATTATAGAAAAAAAAATTAATGAAGGCTAGTTTCTTGACATGGTATGGCACAAGGTTATCGGTTCAAATTCACTAGCCACTCCTTAACATTTATCAACAACAATCCCTTGGTCATGGATTGAAACATTCAGTATTACAAAGTTGCCTACTTTTCTCAACTTCATCTACAGATTTATAAAATCTCAAACAAATTTTAGCCATATTTGCATTTGCAAATGTGGGTACGTGTGCATATCTAATGTATTATTTTCCACAGTAGAACAGTTCTATAGGGATTCTGACGTGGTGGCCCTTAACAAACAGATTTCTATGTCTTTTTCCAAGATACCATTGGTGTGTTTGAGCCATCATCCTTTCTACTAGTATTTGAGTACTTAATTGTTCTTCTTAGTCTAAACTTCCTTTTTTTATATATATTCTACCATTTACCTTAAAAACCTTATCTTTAGGCCCAGTTCCTCTTTTTTCATATGTCCAAAAACAATTTTAAAAATAGAAAAGTAAATCATTGGAGCTCATGTCTTGTTAACTACACTCATGATCTCACCCCACATTTGCGGTTGTGGTTTTGTGGCATGGAGTTCATTCCCACTCATAATGACCCTGTATAGGATTTCCAAGGCTGTAAATCTTTACAGGAGCAGAAAGCCTCTTCTTTCTCCCATGGAATGGCTGGTAGTTTCAAACTGCTGACCTTGAAGTTAGTTAGTAGCCTGACTCATAACCACTACACAACTAGAGCTCCTTTCTCCCTATTTTAGGACTATAACAGTATATATAACATATACTAAGATTCCACTATAACACCATCTCATCATTGGACAACATTCCCCAACCATTATATTATTTATAGAAGTTAGGTAATTGCTTCAATACATGATTTATTATTTGGAGTCCTGGTATGGCACTGCAGAATAATGAACTGGACTGAAAGATTGATTGAACCCCAAGGTCGGCAGTTCAAACTCACCAGCCACCCTCAGAAACCCTAGACAGGGTTATTATGAGTGGGAGCCTACTGAATGGTACTTAACCACAACAACATGATCTGTTACTTACATTTAATTCACTTAAAATGGCAGCAGTAAAAGACGCCTTTTGTTCAGTACTCTGTGTACACAAGTCTACTAGGCCTCTAGGTAATGATGATGACATATAACTGCTTACCTTGTAGTTGTTTGTAAGTGCCAACTCATAGCATAAAGCTTCTGAGTAGTGGCTGGCGAGTTTGAACAGCTGGTCTTGGTGTTCAAACAGTTCTTATGTTCAAACACACCAATGGACATCTTGGAAGAAAGACAGCTTATCCTACAGTGCCACACGCCTTCTTGTAGTAGTAATGTATCTAATTAGGTAATTTTGTCTTTCAAATCAGTCAGCATCCATTAGAAATGGACTCTTTATATTTAGGACATACAACTGCTGACCTTTAGGTTCAAAAACTGATCTTGCGGTCCTGTGCTTATCCTACAGTGCCACAATCAGAACTCTGCTTAACAATAGCTTATTCACATGATAGGCATGTTAGGAAAATGAACTCATTTAAGATTACTTGGAATTGATTAATTTGGATTTTGTTGCTTGAACTTAATTGTGTGGTATGAATTTCTATATTTCTATGTTCATATTCAAGCTTGGTAAAATATTCTGAGTATTACTTCTAATGCTCTAGTGTATCTCAAGCAAGACAATGCCATTGTAATTTCAGTGATCCAAAGATGGGGTTGTATAATCAAGGAAAATGAGCAAAGCAGCATATTGAACACCATAGAGAAATATTGATATATTTTATGAAATGTGCTTGTCAAGAGTTAATAGGATGATGATTTATTTATATAGGTAGCAATTAGAATATTATTGAAGTCATTAAATAGTCTAGAATACTTTGAATGAATCCACAGGGTACTGGATTTTTCATACTTATTTAGTGATATTTTTACCAACCTGTTAATTTGAGCTATTACACAGAAGTATAGAA